CACATCAAGGAATCACAGATTTCTTCCTGTCCTAGTAATATTTTAATTAAAAAATGTCCAATCCTTTCTTTTTTTCTAAACACATTCTAAGAAAAGGCTCCTAACCACACTGTTGCCCACACTGTCTACCGTGGTCTTTCCTGCCTGACGACATGCATTGGTCTTTCGGACAGACAGCCTTGTTACTCAAAGTCTGCCCTGTGGACCAGCAGCTTCCACACAGCCTGAGGGTTCAGTAGAAATGTGTACCTTTGGGCCCCACTCTGGACCCATGAAATCAGAATCTGTATTTTAACAGCCTCTCCAAAAGTTTTGTGTGCTCATTCCAATCAGAAGCAGAGCCAGTCTCTTCATCATGCTCTACACACAAGAAAACTAGGTTTTTTTTTTCTCCAAGAATCTCCACAGCTGACAGAATGAAGAGCCATTCAGTGACCACCTGCTGCTTCTATTGCACATAAACATGAAATGAGAGCCTCATCCTGGGACAGTTTCCATGTGAATTTACATGAAGGACTAACTCCAGGATGCCACCCATGTATTCATGTGAAACTTAAAATCTTCAGGATCTTTCTGAGCTACTGTCCTTTTCCCTGGAACCTTGACAGTACAGAGAAGGCAGGAGCACCTGACTAGGCTGCCTTGCTATATTTCCCAAAAGTGAAGAAACTGCAGCAGTAACAACAATCTTGAATATCCACCAACGATGCCTGTAAGTTCAGCGATCAATCCTCTGGTTGATGTAGACAGAATCACCGCATTTGTAAGATCTATTTACTTAATTTCTCCAAAGTTCTTTGTTTTCAAGAACCTTTTAAAAATCCAATTTCAAAAGAAAAAAGATTGTTATTGATTTTAGTCACCTTAAAAAGAGAGAGAGAATTGAACATAGAGAACAGAGAATTTTCTTGACTTTTGTTTTCAAGGCAAAATTATTTAACACATTTTTTTTTAATCTTTGAAGTCATGTAATGAGATGCAGCTGAGAATTTCTTGACATGTGACATGGACAGGAGTTGGATAATCCTTGGTTCATAAGCTACTCTGCCAATTTCATTTCTTTTATTTAGGTAAAGTATCTTATTCTCTATTTATCAGAAATATCTGCATCATCCTCTACCACCCACCACCAATTGATCAGACTAAAAATGTTATTTAATTTGTCAAAGCCTCATTTTCCTCATCTTTAACAGGGGTATGATTATATCTGCCTCATAATGTTTTAGAAATTTTATAAGATAATGTATGTGCCTGGTACATAGTAAGCACACAATAAAGTTAACTATGACTTTGTTGTTGTCTGAAATCCATTAAAAAAGATACTTAAACTGCAAAACTCTTTGATGGTAGAAAGTATGTCTGGCTCATATATATTATATATATACACACACATAATATATATTATACACATATATATACATATATACACATATATATACACACATACACATAATCTTTAGAGTCTAGCCCACCGGTTTTTACACTGTAGGTCAATCAATGCATGTTTTATTCAATTGAATTGAATCCACTGTGTTGAGTCTGATTTCTCCTGTGAAAGAGGAAATGACTACGATAAAGGAACAATGACTTCCTTTATATGGACAAGTAGAATAGAAACCTGCTTTCCTCCCAAAACAAGTTAAACTAAGCTGTATGGTCCTACCATCATCCTGGTGACATCTACAAGCTATCCTTATGGTTCTGAGACAGACACTATTCCATGGACTTCTTCACAAGGTGAGCCTGGCTCCTGGAGGCCACTCAGCTCCCCTTCCTCAACCACAGCTGACTCTGAACTGGCAGCCCACTCTCCAGCAAAGTCTCTGGAGCCTAGAGAAGATGACTTTTTTTTTTTTTTTTTTTTTTAAGAGACGGGGTCTCCCTATGTTGCCCATGCTGGTCTCAAATGCCTGGGCTCAACGTATCCTCCCACCTTAGCTTCCCAAAGTGCTAGGATTGCAGGCATGAGCCACCATGCCCGGCCCTGAGAAGATGACTCTTTAGCATACATATCCCTGACAATTTTCTAATGAAGAGCTACTTCATTGTGAAGTATTCTGATCTCTGAAAGTGGGAGGGGTGGGTGAGGGGAAGATGAGAACCAAAAGGACATGGCACTAACACATGATAGTGAAGACAGCTGGCCAGGTCCCCACACGAAACCACAGAAAGCTGTGGAAAGAGGGTGGGGCAGCTGGCTGTTCCATGTCAAGCCTCCAGAATGACCGTCTACAGTGGGATCTATCATGGAGGAGAGGGTGAGGCAGGATGAAACAGAGGTGAGGAGGGAGGGGAAGACAGGATTTGCTCTCCTGAAGGTGCTACTTGAGTACATAAAAGAAACTTGTTTCAAATACAGGTATCTGCATTAAATCATCCTGTTTGCCTTCGAGGTAAAGTACCAAGAATTAACTTAAAATTATGACTGATTCCTGTGTTTATTTTGGTAACTGGAAACAGTTAAAAAAGGTGACCGTGTTACCTGTCTGGCAGCAAAACTTGGTAGAAAAAGAGACTATGAAAACACAACCAAGAATCTTGTATTCTTTGTTCCCTTATCCACAAGGTTGCCTCACTTGTGCCAGCTGTGAAGAGTACAGAAAAGTCACTGGGAGGCACCCCCAAGAACAAGAAAGCGTTAACAATTGTTAGGCGGGGTGAAGCAATGAAATCAAGACGTCAGAGTGGAGAGACACAAAATATTTTAGAGACTAGAGACCAACAGCTCCCAGGCCAGTGAGACTAGACTGCAAATTGATTAAATATATTAGCATATCTAAAGGAAAAAATGCTGCAGTCTCAGGGGTAGTTGGTCAACAAGAGGCCTAGAAAAAAGGAGAATTTTTGAGGCAAATGCTAGAGGTGTCCATTCAAGCAATTTGGGGAATGCTTTGCAAGCTGTCTAGCAGGAAAGAAAACTTACTTTTACCCATGTAATTTCGGGCGTGATAGTGCTAGTGGAATTGCCTAACTTTCTAAGAAGGACTGTACTACTGAGTTAAGAAACAGAGGTGTTGAATTATGCGGCTGATGCCAGGAAACACTGAAGCTGTCTCTCTAACTGAGCTTGCTTGGATCTACACTCACCCACCAGCTTGCCAGTAAAGTCTAGCATCCCACATGCCAGGTCTTCAAGGAGAGAAGGGATGGCCAGAAGACAGGCACAAGGACCTTTCCAAGTTCTGTATGACTTAGGAAAATAGCATCCTGGCTTCATATACAAATTCTATGACCTGGGTTAATAGAAATGTGTGCTGGGAGACAGAAGTACTCTCTCGGTATGTCGATGGTTGTGCTTGCTTGTAAGGTTGAACCCAGGAAAAGGCATCAAGATAATGTCACTGAAGGCCTCTGGGCAGTGGCCAGCCTGAGTGGCCAGGCCTTCCCAGTACCCACCACTGTGTGCACTCCACGCTGCTTTCTTTTGAAAATTTCCTATCAGCCTGGGCCACTGAGATCTGCTCATGATTATTCTCTAAGATGTTTGATTATAAACACATAATTTTTCTTATTCAGCATCATTATTAATCAAAGACATGCAAACTAAGAAAAAATTAGTGAAAGGAAAATTGGCGCAGGGTATAAGCAAAAATGCATTCTCGTTTACCGCTGGTGGGTATTTAAATTAGAAACATACCAAAAGTTTTAAAATATGTACACTTCTAATCCAGCAATACTACTGCTAGGAATTTATCTTTACTTAATGAAGGATATGAACAATTATTTAACCACAATGATGTCCTTTAGAGTAGTTTACTATAGGTAAAACTTGGAAATTGTGTGAATATTCAACAGCTGAGATTGATTGAACAAATATTTATGATACAATAATATACTGACATTTGCAATATGTTACGGAAGTATAATTACTGACCAGGAAAGATAATCACAATGTATTTTTATTTTCTTCTTTTTTTCTTAGTTACATATTCTAATTTTTCTTTCTATGAACATGTATTATTAAATATAGCCCTGACTCTGAATCCAAGCTAAGGAGCTGCCCCTGTCTGCATACAGAATAGAATCCAGGGGTTAGAAGGAAGGTGAGACATGTACTATCCCAAGTACTATCTCTGAGACAGCAAAGGAAACTCAAAGAGGTATAAATGGTTTATCTGAGGCCACCCAGCCAAGTGATGGTAGAACCAGTGATATCACTAGGCTCTCCAGATTCTTAAGCTGAGATCTATCCAGTCACTCCTGGGGCCTCCAAATTACAGCAGAACCTTGTCTCTATGCTACTCAACATCAGCGTCTCAACTCAGAAAGCAGAGTTGTCCCTCTAGCCGTGTGTTGAGCTAGAATAGTCGAATAAAATCATCTTTAATGATCTCTCTGCTAAGTGACCTATACACAATAGTAGGAAATCTCAATTGCAAACTGCATCTCACATGCATCTCATATTCTAGGATTCTCTGAAGTGTGTCATAAGGTACCAAACTTCTCTCAAGACATCTCAGAATGAATTGGTGAAGTGAGGAGGGGAGAGAAGAGGGAAAATGACAATGAAAAGAAGTTCTATTTTGTGATGCAGACTTACTGTCATTTTTTAATGTGAAAACTCCTCTACATTTAATAAGACTCATCATTCTATGCACCAGAAAAGAATATGCTGGCCTCTCGGAAGTTGACTTGGGTCAGCTGCAGGAAAGTTAGGTCTCTGTTCTCTTCTGTGACCCAAGTCCAGTGAGTCCTGACCAATTTCCAATGAGACATCCATTGAAGAATTGTAATTTACATCACCACCTCCGGCCTTGAATCAGCTTTCTGTAACAGCTCTTTTCTCCTTAAGCAATATTCATTTGGAGACTTTGGATAGGACAGGAGGACAGAGTTAATGCTTCCTTCATTACACAAGCCAAGGAAAAGTAGCAACCAGAGAAAAAAGGAATGTTCCAAGACACCCACCTCCCCAGGCCTCCGTCTCAGCTGCCATTAACGGAACCAAACAAGCACTGGGAAAAACAAGCGAATCTCAAAGGGGTGAAAGTCTTACTTACGGACACACATTTCCCCGCTTTCATAAAATCCAGGACAACATTGAGACTTGCGCCTATACATAGTCTTCTCCCCATGTCGATAGGCTGTCCGATAACTGACTCTATAGAGAGGGAAATATTAGCTATTAAACATAATAAAGATCTGAAAAGCAAAGTCTTTCAAACTAGTTATGAAGAAATATGGAATACACGTCTAGACCAATATAATACTAACTCATCAATTTGCTAAGAAGATATTAAGATGCCCAATTGAAGCTAATCTATGCTTTATTTGAAGGGGTCAGTAGGTTCATGATTTCCCTCTTTCACTTATCCTAAAATATGTTGAAAAGTATTGATTAATTCATATATGATACCCACCTAAGCATCATTCACTTATGTATGTTTTAAAGGAAGAATTCAGAGAATTCCCTTAAAAACCTTAGGGCAGTCTCATCCTACTATAATATAGAAGGCTAAGAGACATAAGATCTCTCCATTTAACTAAAGCGCCATTTATTCATGGATTCATTTACACAGCATGTGTTTATTGAGCACTTACTATATCCTGGGCACTGTTCTAGACATTGGGAATGAGCAGAGAGCAAAACAATACAAATCCCTTGCTCTCAAGGAACTTACATTTTACTGGGGAAGACAGATCTGGCTGAATTTGTTAAAGTAAGGACATGCATTAAACAAATGATTAGATCATATAATGGCAGGTAATGATTACATGCTGTGAAGAAAAATAAAGCCTCAGTCAGGGAATAGAATGTGACAGGTGGGAAATGCTAATTTACACAGCGTGGCCAAGGCCAGCTTGTGTGAAGAAATGACATTGAGCATAACATCATTTAGTGCAGTACAAATCAGCAGATGCTACACTCAACACATAACTCATACACTATAAATGTTAGTATACTACTAATAAAATTAGGGCATCCGAGTTCCCTTCTATATTAACATTAATATTTAATTATATTTTAGTTTTGTTTCTGTGTTCACATTTATAGAAAAAAAAAATATGTCTTGTTTTACTTAAGGGTCAAATTTAAGTTAGCCTAAATTGAGTCAGATGTTTAATTGGAAACATATGCTAAGATACAAATTGCTTGACATCTGCTGCTGTCCATAGGTAACAGTGTCTCCCCCAGTTATGTGCAACACGGAGGCTAGATGAATTCTTGTTAACAAATGATGATAAACAGCAGACACTTTCTCTTCAGTTAGGCTGTAAGCTCCTTTAGGGCATGGGCTACCTTTCTGCTTTTCTATATCCCCTGTGATTTGGCACAAAGATAAGACAGTAGCAAGCCCTCAATACCTATTCACTGAATTAATGGATGCACTTTCTGCTGTCATTAGTATCTCTGTATTAGAATCTATTCCCAGTTAGCCAAACTCATAAACATGTCTGAGCTTCTATTACCTGTGCCGCGTGCATTTAAACCAGTTTAGAATGTCAGTGCAGCTCGTGTAGTAAATTTGATCAAAGGGATGTGGGTATGACTCTTGCACAGTCACTGAGTAGCTGAAAAGAAATGGAAAAATAAGAAATCAGTATTTCTCTTTTTTAAATTAATAATATACTATGTATTTAAAAGTTTGTAAGCTAAATTATCTCCATTTGCAACTCCATAATGACTTTTAACAGAGAATTTCCATGCTTTTATGGGTTTTTATTTAAACTAGAACCCCAAAAGGATCAATTTTAACAATATATTTAAAAGACAATGATTCATGCTGTAAATTTTAAAGAAAATCCTATTTTACTATTCACTATAAACCCTAATATTCCCAAATTTAAAAACACCACTCTGTTTTTCTGCCTTTAATTCCTCCTTTTATCCCAGGGCTCAAAGGATAACAAAGATCATTCACAGAAGGTTATGTTACTCAGCAAAGAAACAATTCAAGTAAAGTAATACAGTACATTTTGCTACTGATTCTTAAAATATCAGAAAGAACATATTTTTCTCTAGTTGGAACTCAGAATAATTTGCTTTCAGGCAATGGAAGACCATACAGTACATAACAACTGAATAAATACTATAAAGTAGTCTTTAAACCTGGTTCTAAACATATGGCTGAGACAATTAGCCTAAAATAATCATACCAACAGTTTGCTACTACTTAAATAGTCTGTTTTCCAATACATTTTCACTAACAGGTTCCTGTTAGAGTGAAAACATACAAGCCTACGGGCCTAAGAACGTGGGTGGAAAACATCCATGAAATATGAAGAATTCTCACTGTTCAACTGCAGACTTCTTCGTTTTAAACAGTCTATTACATGCTAAAGAGCTTAGCGTCTGCCTATAAGAAAATGTGGATAATCTTCTCCAAACAATTTATTCTCTTAAAGATTTTCACTAAAATCTTTAATTCAGACAAACAAACAAAATAGGCCATAATCACCGATTCACTTGCTGCAAATCAACAGCCCAAGTTCACTAATAGGAAGGAAGGAAGTTAAAATGTCAGCATGAAGAATTCAGGTTAGACAGAACCTTCTGATTTCAAAAGCTGTGTGGTGCTAGCCTCACAAACAGTGGGTTTTCTTTCTGCAGCTGGTCTCTGGTCGTCATTATATATTAGGCTTCAATAGGACAGTCATGAAGTAATCGTACTATTCATAGTTTTGTATATTTCATTCTTTGCGATATTGCAATTTATTTCTAGGTAAATTTAGTGACCCTCCATAAATGTTGGGCAAATAAAACAGGCTCTATTGAAAAAAGCACTGGACTAGAAGAAGGCAGGGTTATAATTCTGTACTGACACTGAGTACAGAAACTGGGAGATGTTCAGCGGATAGCCTCACTTCCCCGGGTCCTCATGATCACATTTTAAAATAAAAGGAGTCAGAGAAGGTGTTGAAGATCCCCTCTTATTTAGCATACTGAATTTCTAACATATACTTTTGATGACTGTTTCTTTCTCCCTCCAACAGATGTTACCCATTGCTACCTGCAAAAATAAGTTCAGATGAGGATACAGTGTGGTGTGCAAATACCTGCATGCTATGATGTAACTCCTTTTGGGTAAAGCAAGAGGCCCCTGCTAAAATATTAATATTCTTGGAATGACATATCACATTAAGCTATCAGTATTTTCTTCAGACCCCTAGCAGTGTCCTGAGGTTCTAAGACTTCCTTACCAATATTTCTTCCTCCTGTGAAATTAAATAATTCAAATTTAAAGCTGTTGGAACTTTAAATTATTTTGAGCCTTGAGAGGAATATAACTATGTGGCCTGAGTCATGCAGCAAGTAGCTGCAACTTCTTTTTCCTATAAATGATTAGAAATAACCAAATGGCATCAGAGATAGACCCCCTCAGATCATTACCCTTCCTCATGAAATGTTAAAGCAATCTTCCTTGAAATGTAGCAAACTGTAATCAATCAAATCACTGTAACATATGTACTGGCTTTCTATGGAAAATGTTGAACCTTATTAAACTTCTCTGTTTCTGCCTATATAGGTGAAACTTTAACTTCCCCACTTGGGAAAACTGAGCCCAGTCCTTTGAAGTCTGTTTTCTGTATGGCTGTCCTCAAATTGTGTGCTGAATAAACTCAATACTTAATCCTATTTTCTAACTCTCATTGTTTAAAGTTGACACTTTCAATCCAGCTGCTTGTAAAGAGCTGAATCCTAAGGCCTACAGCATTATATCTCTGTTCCATTTCTAGTGGAGAACAAAGTGAATGAATGTCCTCTGTGTATACAACTGGTGTATAGGTACAGTCCTACATCACCTATGAGCAAAATAGAGCAACTTCCCACATGTGCTGTAAGAACAAAAAAGAAACCACTCTAAATTAATGCCAGTTGGGAGAAAACACTTATTCAACCAGTCTCTACAGTACTAATTTAGCTGAACTAAATTCATTTGTTGGAACTAGAGCTGATACAGAGTTTCCAGAAAATTTCAAAGGCCATGTTATGATATTCAAGTCTGTGTGCCTCGGAGTGCAAAAGTTATCAATAAATGCATCCTGGCCAGTTCTATTTGATGTGGAGGGAAGAACCAATTCCATAAGCCAACATGTAAAATGTTTTCACTGATTTCTAGGAACCAAAAAGAGTTTTTAAATGACAGGGAATGTTGGAGTACATGAATTTCCTCTTCTTGTCACTTGCTGCTCACCAATAGCTCTTTTATTAAAAGGACAATCAAAGTATTTAGGGTTCCAATTCAACAAACATTTATTGAGCAATTCCTGCCCTCAAGGAGCTCTCAGCCTAATGAGAGGCCAATATTTAAATGCTGAATGTAATACGATATAGCTTTCCATGGAGAAATATATATAGCTTGGGGGAAATAGGAGTATAAAATTCATTATGTTTTGAGTATTTGTCCTCAATCTTGGCTCTACTCATTAAAATTATTTTGACACTCAAACCCAACACAGAACTGACTGCATATAAATTATTTTGAACTATATTAAACTATAGTTCTACTAATTTAACTATTTTAAACTACAGTTCAACTAATTTAACTATAGTTAAATTACTATATAAACTTAAGTGGAAGCTTCTTTCTGACCGATAATAATTACCTGCCTAATTATCATCGGTCAGAAACTGAAGCTTCCACTTAAGCTTATAGGAGAAAGGTACCAAGCCATTTCAACATGAATTTCTTTTCTGTTGTTTCTTACACACTATTTTTCCTTCTATATACTTTTTTCATTTTTTTCATTTGTAAAGGTATTATAATCACACTATGGAATATGGAAAACACATTTTTAAAAAAGAGAGCAGGAGAGAGAATTCCACAGCTCTCACATAACCACCAATAGCGTGTTGTTGTGCTTCTTTACAATTTCCAGGAAGTTTTAGTTTTTGGTTGAAGGTATTTCTAAATTCTTACATTACAATAATCACGCCATGCACATATTTCTAAAACATTCTTTTTTAACTTGAGTATATCATAAGCATTTTTCCATGTTAGTACAGTCTTCAAATTATGACTGCCAAATACTTTTAAGTGACTACACCTAATTTGCTCAATACCCACCAATCATTAGGCAATTAAGTTGTCACTCTTCAAGGGGTCCATTATCTGGAAGCGATGTGTTTGAATCATGAAGGCAAGTGTCTGCAAGAATGGGCCTGCCTCCTCTGGTCTTTATCACCGCCGCTTTGGCCAGTGCTTAGGCGGCTGCTGGAACTTAATTAGCTTCTCTGCTAACACTCCATACTGCCATATTCACCAGCAGCTGCTCCTGAAGTCACAGAGTATGAGGGTACCTCCTCTATTATCTGGTCCAATCCCACTTTAATTGACAAGGAGCAACACTGAGTTTCCACATAGAGTCAGCAGTAACACTGACACCCTCAGACACTGTCCTGCCCCATCGTCTCTCAAACATCACTATAGAACATTTAAAGCTTCTAAAACAGACAAAGAGTGGGAAAGTGGAATTTTAACAATCTGATCCTAATTCTACACAACTTTCAGCCTTCAGAAGCAAAACTCTTTATTTCCTGTTTATTTGTTTAATCTTCTCAAACATACTGAAAACATACCATCGCCGTGATTTTAATCTATTAAGTGTTACCTGGGGAAAACCCCAGCAAGTTTTAATTTAAGGTCAAAGAACCGGTGAGTGGGGGAGGAGATGGAGAATAAGGGGAGGAAGCCATTATCACTTGGGCACATTCCAAAGTGGTTAATTACATTTTACCTGCCTAAATTATCTTGTTACTTTAATCAGATATGGTAATAATCTTCATTTCTTATCTCTGCTTGCTTCAGGACTGCTGATTCAATTACTCTCCCTTCTGTGTTAGTAATTGAAGGTTTGGGCAAAGTGTGGTTTCTCTTCACTTGTACCTTCTTTAGAAGAAACCCCACTGAATGGAAAAGCTCAAATGCACAGACTACAGAAAGAAGGTTAGGAGAAGGAATAGATGATTTCTAGAGTAATTCATTTTCCAAAAAGATGCTGTACAGAGTTCCTTTAATCATAAACACCCCTTGAGTATTTAAATGATTTCATTTTCTCTCATTTCATTTTATGTACAATTTCCAATCACAATTGCTGCATTAAAACAAGGCACATCTCTATTTCAAAATATTCAGATATCAATTGGGATGCAGCTAGAAGTCATTGATGGAAGTATTTTTGTTTAATGCTTCTCAAACTTGAATATGCAGAGAAATCTCCCTGGGATCTTGTTAAAATGCAGATTTCGATTTAGTAGGTCTGGGGTGGGACCTGAGAGTCTGCATTTCTAACAAGTTCATGCCTCAGCTCTGCAAACCACACTCAGAGGTAACCTCCAGGTGATTGCATGATTCTGAGCCATTGGGTACAGGTGGTTTTTAGCATAGGAAGAGCTTAAAATGAGCCCTACTACCAGAATTATGCCCTTGGAACTCACCTTCCTCTCCCCATTTCAGTTCAAGCCCATTTCCATTTTTGAAAATACTAGACAAACCTGTCACCTGTGCCTTTATTTGATCATTTTAATTTATCTTCTACACCAGTCCAAATTCTTGCCAGAACAATTCTACTTTCTTTTACCTTTCTTCTAGAAATCATTATCTAGTCTTACAACAGAAAATATATCAAAAAGAAGATTACAGCTGTCAACCCTTCTTCCTGGTAGTACATTTTTAAAAAACTGGAAAATTTGTTCATCATTTTCCTGTTTGTTCACATTCAATTTCCCTCCCCCTTAGTCAGCATTTTATAGTTTGCACTAATCACTTGTACAGTTGTTGGGTTCTATTAGGTTTAGAGATTAATGTGCCCCTTGTCTGTCTGTCTTTCTCACTCTCCATGCCCCTCCCACATTGTTGTACATATTTAGTCATTTCATTTCCTATCAGAAGATGAACTCACTCATTCAACAATTATTTATTGAACACATGCCACATGCAAGGCAGTGTTTTAGACAGTGAGAATTATCAGTGGTGAGCCAAACAATGCAATTATGCATTGGCAGCTCTGATCAACTGCTGACCAAGGAAGCAGGACAAAATGTGTATTTATAAGTGGGTGCTGGATTATTTGAAGCCTTGAAATTGTTTTCTCTCTCTCTCTTTTTTTTGGGGGGGGATGGGGGAGACAGGGTCTTGCTCTGTCACCCAGGCTGGAGTGCAGTGGCATGATCTCAGCTGACTACAGCCTCCACCTCCTGAGTTCAAGTGACTCTTGTGCCTCAGCCTCTCTAGTAGCTGGGATTACAGGCATGCACCACCACGCTCGGCTTTTTGTATTTTTAGTAGAGATGGGGCTTTGCCATGTTGGCCAGGCTGGTCTCGAAATCCTGGCCTCAAGTGATCTACCTACCTCGGCCTCCCAAGGTGCTGGGATTACAGGTGTGAGCCACCACACACCCAACCTTTTTTTCTCTTATAGTATTTCCCTCAGAGAGTTCATCTGTTCACATCTCACATGAGTTCATCTATTCACATCTCCCATCTCATCATGCTGGATAGTCCCAAATCTATATTCCCAAATACTTCTAGGCCCATATTTTACATTGATTTTATAAACCCAACATGGCAAACCCACACTAACCCCTTCCCTTTCAAATCAGCTCTCTCTTTTATTTTTCCATATGCGCAATGACATCTGGATTACTTCACGCAGCAAGTGCTAAATCCTAGTCTTCTCTGCTTCCTTCACTTCCTCAATGTATTATCAAGATCTGTTGATTCTTGTTTCACAGCATCTCACAAATTTGACTTTTCCTCCCATCCCAAATCTATCATCCCTCCAAGAAGTTCAGCCACCAATGGTCTCTTCCTTTACTAAATTTGACGTGTACCCATTCATGTAGCCGCTGATTCATTTTTATGACTTTAATAAGTATTTATTATATATTTTCTTGATGAAATGGTTTATGGGAAGTGCTGTAAATCTTATAAAGAGAACTAATAGGAAGTCCTTCTGCTTAAATTCTGTATAATGTAGTTAATACCACAAATATATAGAACTTTATTATATACATATATTCTCTGTACAGCTTAAAGTTTCATAATAATATATATCTCCATTGACTAATCAGGTAATTATGTTTTAATTACCCTGCTTGTAACACTACCAATGGAGGTAGGGATAAGCCCTCACCAAAAATAATGCTGAGTGAGAAACCAGCGTGTCCCCAGAATAATACCACTGCTGTGCTTGAGAGGCTCTGGGCTTTGTGCGTCCTAACAGTGGGGGACAAAGGTGATTAGAATGTGTACTCTGTGGTTTGCTAATCATGGTGCTGAAGATCAAGAGTCTGATATAATTGTACTTACAGCTATTAAAAATACATATTACCCTCAAGTACTTAACATCTTCTCTTTGTTTAAAACACTTGCATTTACTTTTTGGATAAAGATAATTTCTGGGAAAGTCAAGTAGCACATTACAGCAGAGCCCACTGGACTTGATTGTACTGCAATATCGTTGGATGGGTTTGTACTATTTTTGTGTTCCAAAAGGGACTATAAGGTCCTGGAGGATGACCTACTGTTTTGTACTTTTTACTGCAAATTGCTCATATCTGGACATTACATCATCTGCCTTCATATAATCATACCCTCCTGAAATACAGTTCTAACTCTGTTCTGGTTGTGCACAGTTCTCGGTGGTCCACATGGCACTGATTTCAAACGGCCTCCCTTTCCGAGATCCCCTTCCAACCATTGCAACCCACTCACCTTATTCAGTTCTTCAAGAGCATCTCAGGGGACACTACCTCTATGCAGCCTTGCCAGTTTACCCCAAAATCAGGTCTCCCTTTTCAAGCCATCTACAGCAAAATTCTTTTAAATCCCATACATTTCAATACTTTAGTACAGTATCTCATGCTGCTTTCCACTTCTTACTCATGGGTTCCCATGCATAAGTCCAGCTCCCCAAAATTAATGCAAATTCAAATCAGAAACAAGACCTTAGGAAGATCTTTTAATAGCTCTATTAATGCTTTCCCTGAATCTTACAATTGCACTTGCATTAGAATTAGATATGTCAAGATTTTTTTCACATAATATATACACTGTAAGACTAAGGGGACTAACACTACCTAATTTGCTAGCTATGACTAATGATTTTTACATAAAAGTAATTTCACAATCTCTTCGCAAATTCTAATTTTATACATCTGACTGATAATTATAGTATATAAGGGAACTTCTCAGCAATTTTTTGTCAGGCTCCTTTCAGAACCATTACCTTTCCCAGTGGCTACACACATTAGGGTCTTCGAGATTCAGAGGTGATGCTGTCCCAATCCACTGGCATAATAATAAACAAATAAAGCTCAGGCATGAGTTCAAAGAAATCACCATTTTTTTTTCTGCAGAACTACCTACAAGAAAAAAAAATCCGAATTAGAAATGCATTGAAATGACTCACACAGAATTCTTTTCAGTACAGCAACCATTAGGTACCAGTTGTCACTGGGGCTCATAACAAGCCATATATTTCAATAGCCAGGTCACCAAATTCCATGATCCCAGAGAGAGGGGTGTTTCTTATGTGGTGCAGGGTGGCTACTGTTTTGCAAATTACTAAAATATGCAAATCATCATCAATTGCCACAAGAACAAAAGCCCTTCTCATTTATGTCAGCCAATATTAAAGAAATCTACCAGAACAATTCAGAGCAATACAGGCCTCCACATTCTCTCACCCGGCATATTTCCCTTCTAGAAGAGGAGGGCACACAGAGATAGCTGGCCTCATTTGTCCTAGAAAATAAATGATGAAACAGAAGCTCCATCGAATCAAGAGAGAGGTACCTCAGGCTCAAACTGAGATTCATTTGATAAGTCATTCAATGCACTGAATGCCTGCTCCATCCTAGGCACCATGCAAAGGCTGGATATAAAATACAGAGCCAGTCCCTATCACTGCCTGTTAAGACGTTTATAATTTAGTAATCATGACTAAGTTTCTTAAACATAATGCTTCAATTTCTCCATCTGCTGAAAAGAAATGAAACCATCTCACAGCGGTTTCTAAAAACTAGACTATGCATAGAAAAAAATGTAAGGCTGTTTGCAGGTCAATGTTTGAGCAAATGAACCTAAAAACCGTAAAGTAACATATTTAAAAGCTCGGAAAATAGATAGGCTGGCAAAGGAGATAGAAGAGGGTGAATGTTCCAGCCAGAGGGATCCACAGGTAAGGGATGGCCAGGTGCATTTAGGGAGTTCAAGTTAATTCATGGTAAGAGAAAGGGGACAGCTGGAGAAAGAGACAGAGGGTGAGTCGTGATGGGTTTCATAAGCCATTGTGTAGTAGGGAACTTCATCCAAGGATAACATGGAGCTAGTAAATGATGCAGAGTGGCATTAGAAGAATGACTCTAGCTGCAAGGGGAGGCTCTTGGAGGGAGGCCAGGGGAGACGCGACTGTGAACAGATCAAGGCAGCAGCAATGGGGTTGTAAGAAGTGGAGTGGCTCTGGGAGATTTTTAGGATGTGGAATCAACAGGATTTGGCTATTGAACATGGATTAAGGGAGGGGAGGAGCTTCTGGTTTAGCCCCTTATGGGGATTGTTAGCCCTTCACTGAGATGGGACTCACAGAAGCCCTCCTCTGGGGAGGGGAAGCTTTGAGTTCAGTTTTAGATATGTCAGGTTGAAGGTTCCTCTGATATCATCAAGCGAAGCCACCTACAGGCATTTATTGAACACATGCGATGTGCTAGGACCTACGCCAGGCCCAGGTGTGTAACACCTGTAATGGTTTGCACCTGAGAATCACATGCACTCCTGCAGCCTCTGGAATTTAGTAAGAAGGAGAAGTTTAATTGTCATACTATGTCATCTAATCATTATAAAAATGGACACAAAATTAGAAATCACTGATCCATTTCTTAATTACAAACAAAATAAGCACCAACCTGCTTGTTGGTAAACTAGTGAAATTAGTAATAATAAGCCAGATTATTTGAGCAAAGCAGTGATTTTCTGGGTGGGAGCTGACATTTTAAGAAGTTATACTCATTTTCCACACCAAGAAATTTTCAATATTTGGGAACCAAATGTATTGAATAATAACTTTATGGTTTGAAAAGACAAATTTATCTTAAAACAAACAAATAAACAATAACAGCAAAAAAACACTTTAGGAAATAGTTTATCATTCAAATTCAGGACAGATCAAATGAGGAAATATTAAATTCTTCAAAATCAAGATTGTTTAAGTATACTATGACAAGTCACCTATTGCTGACTCATCAAAGGCTAAAAGAAAATGTTTGACTTGGAATAGGAAAAAAAATCATGAATTTGTAGTATAATTAAAAGATATTGTGTAAGCCATTAAAGAAGCTGTAAAATCTTAAAAAGGATATTTCAATGGTCACTAAATAATTCCAATAGATAAAGCATAAATAGATAGCCAAAACTAACTAATAGATTAATTTAAATTCTTGACATTTCTCACATGCTAACCATCATGAAATTGTAAAATCTGAAGCTTAACATTATATAAAGAAGCTATTTCATTTAACAGGAATGAATAAAAAATGATGGTGATAATAATAATAAACAATAACAGCTAACATTTCCTGACCAATTACTGTATGCCAGACACAGTACTGAGCCATTTATGTGAATTATCTATGTAATCCTTACAGCAACTTAACTAAGAAGTAGTAGTTTTTATTGTCCCTGTTTTACAGCTGAAGCCATGTAATATACAGCTAGTGTTTTCCTGATCCATCAAAAACATCTTTAATATATTTGGCTGTAACAAATAAGCATGGCAATTATTTCCTTGTCTCATTGCTTTGTCTATGTGAGGAGAAGTATTTCCTTTCAATGAAGTGTGAAATGTGTTTAGCTTTCATTCTTTCCTCAAAGACATGAAGGCTGGTAAGCAGTAACATGCCATCTACTCATAAACAGTTACCCCAAATTGGAAAGTTTATTTCCTGAGTCATCTCAGACTCAAACTATCCATTTACCAATTAGAAATGTTTAGTCTGTAAAGTTAGAAATTGCCACAAGCCATGAATCAAGGTCCAAGAACAAGAAAGAGGTTGTGAGTTTTCTTTTAGTGTAAAAATATTCACACTAATCTTCTGGTTTCTCTTCTTGCTTTGTACCTGATGCATTGCCCTGTGAAGAGGAGGTGACACAGAAAAAGCAGAATTTGGCCACCTTCTCATTGCTTTGGAAGTTCAGTATACAGAAATATCAAACTGCATTGAGAAGTCGCAGGTACCATTTTTGAAAGATAAAATATCAGTCCATTAAAAAATATGTGTGTGTGTGTGTGTGTGTATTACTTGGTCTCTTTGTCCCAATGCATTTTCCTCATTAAAATTAGAAAATTAACTGAGCTCTAGAGTAATCTGCAAAACCAAAAAGAATTGTTTGATCAAGAGGCAAGGATCATGCAAATTCACATAAGCTGGTTAAAACTGTTTGAGAAAATAACACAGATGTTATAGAGGATGAGGAGAGAAGACATCTCACAAATATGCCAATAAGCTGTACAGAACTAAGAAACACAGCATTTCTCTAAATTAGGAAACATGGATTGTCCTTTCATTCTATCTTGTTTAGTAAAGGCACTGAGATGCAATCAAAATCAGAAGTTGATAGGACATTTAGGCCAGGCATGCTGGCTCATGCCTGTAATCCCAGCACTTTGGGAGGCCGAGGTGGGTGGATCATCTGAGGTCAGGAGTTCAAAACCCCCTGGCCAACAGAGTGAAATCCCGTCTCTACTAAAAAATACAAGAAATTAGCCAGGCATGCTGGCAGGTGCCTATAATCCCAGCTACTTGGGAGGCTGAGGCAGAAGAATTGCTTGAACCCGGGAGGCAGAGGCTGCAATGAGCCAAGATCGTGCCACTGTACTCCAGCCTGGGCAACAGGAGCGAAACTCTATCTCAAAAAAAGAAAGACAGAGAGAGAGAGAGAGAGA